CTGCCCCCCCCCCCTCCCCCACACGCACAACGCGCAGCCGGCCGGCAGGCCCCGCTGCCCCCACCTGCCCCTCGCGCGCCAGCCGCGACTTGCGCGCTGCGCGGATCCAGATGGTGCGGTACGTGTTGGCCAGCGCCAGCGCCAGGCGCGAGGGGTCGCGCCGCGGGAAGCCCACCTGCAGCACGGCAGCCTTTACGCTGGGTGGCGGCGGCAGCGGGGCGAGCGGGGAGCGGCAGCCGCCGGCCGGCCGGCCGGCCGCACTCAATTGGGAGCCTCTCTTGCTGGCACCAGAGGCCGTCTTTCCTGCCGCCCCACCTTCTCAAAGAGGTCGTTGAGCTCCCCCACATCCAGGCCCTCTTCCCCCCACACAAACTCCACGCCGCCCTCCAAAAACTGCTCGTCGCTCTTGCTGCGGGGCGGCGGCGGCGGCGGCGGCGGCGGGGAGCCAGGGCAGGGCACGGCGACGGTCAGTGGAAGGACAGGCGCAAAGCCAGAGCAGCGGCCTCGCTGGCTGGGCCATTCTATTGCTGTCGCGGTCAGGACGTGGGGGCAAGGGGGAGCACACTGCAGCCCTGCAATCTCCTGCTCTCTCCATACATAGAGCCGGAGCACCGGCGGTGGCGGCACACCTGATGGGCGGCGGCGGCAGCTGCTGCTCCAGCGTGTCGACCATGAGGGCCGGCTTCTGCGTGTTGATGCCATCGCTCAGCCCCAGGGCAGCTGCGCGGGGGGAACGCGGCGGCGCAGCGTATGCTGGCGCGCGTCAGGGCAGGCGGCAGCGGGCTGGGGACGCAGGCGGCGGCGGCAACCCGCGATGCGCAGGCTAGGGCAGGGTGGGAGGAGGCATTGCAGCGGCTCGGGGGAGCAATGGCCGCAGATCTCACCTCCGGCGCCGGAATATCTCAGCCTGGGCTTGTTCAGCGGGAGATGCAGTTTAGGGGGGGCTGCTGGTGCCACTGGGGGCGGCCTCAGCAGGCTTCGGCAGCGCAGAGGTTGCGCCCCAGCACATGGCCGGCTCCCTGTCTGGCGCATTGCCAGGGGCTGCTGCTGTCCAAGCTCTTGGCCTTATCTCCCGCTGAAGCCACCGCACGGGCTGGGACCGGCCTGGCAACTTTGTGAGGGGGCCAATTGAGTGCTGACCGCCGGTCAGCTTCATTTGGAGGGCATGGGCACTGGCGCACCCGAGTGCCACACAGGCAGGGGGTGCCTGCTGCCTGCCCGTGTTTATCCAGCTCTTCAGCCCTCGCCCATTGCACTTTACTGCCACCTAAACCGATTGGTTGGAAAAGGCTCGCCTGGAGCAGCAAGGGCTCTGCCCCACAGTCGCCATCTTCGCAGCCCCTTGCCGCTGCCCAACAGCAATGGTGGCGAGGCTTCTGCTAATAGCTGGCGGCGTGGCAGGCGCCTGCATGGCCGCATATGCGGCGCAAGCGCAACAAAGCCCAAGCAAGCCGCCCAGGCGCACGAAGAGGGTGCCCAAACGTGCAATAGCAGCAGCCCGCGAGGCCCAGCAAGGCGACAGGCGCGCAGCAGCTGGGCTGGCCTCCCGCCCGCCAGCGGACGCGGCGCTGGCGCGCGCGCTCGGCGGCACAGGGGCCTACGCGCTGCTCCTCCTGCAAGCCCTGCTGTCTGTGGCGGCTGTGCTGTGGGCCGACAGGCTGCGCCCCGCCACCTACACCAGCCAGGAGTGGCAGCAGCTGGCGGCGGCAGCAGCGGTCGGCGCCTCCGTCCTCGCCCTGGCAGCCCACACCGCCTTCGCCCTGCTGCGGCACGGCAGGCGGCACCGCAGAGCGGCGGCGGGCGCCGTCACTGCTGCAGCAGCGCCCGCGGCCCGACGTGCGGTACAGTCGGTGGTACCGCTGCAGGACGTGAGCGGTACATGGATCAAGGACAGGGCGGCCTCAGACAGCATGGAACCCGCCTGCGATGCCATGCGCCTGGGCGGCCTCGTGCGCACCGCTATCAGGCACGCCCCGCCCGCCGCCACCACACCCGCATGCCTCAGCCTGCACACCCTGCCTGCCGTGTGGCACGCAATGACACCCATTAGCCAGGGTGTGGGGCGGCGCTTGCACGGGCCTCCACCCTGCGGCCCACGCCACCCACCGCGCCCTCCCGCCTCTATGCGCCATGCTGTGCCTCCCCCCGGCCTCCCCCTGCAGGCTGATCAGGGGGGTGGAGGTGCGGCTGGATGGCGGCCAGTTCACCATGAGCGTGCTGTCGGGCATACTGTGGTTCAAGGTCACGGAGCGGTACCCGCTAGATGGAGCCCCGGTGCAGTGCCGGCGGCGGGACCTGCGCAGGGGTGGGTCGCCTCGGGGCGAGCTGGCTGGCGGGACGGCTGGCCGGCTGGCTGGCCGGCTGGCTGGCTGCAGCCCGCCTGGCAGCGGCGGCGAGCCTCGGGCGTGCCTGCCTGGGGCGCCGGCACGCGGCGGCGCATGCGGCTGTGGTGCCTGCTGGCCTCCCGCTTGCAGCCGTGGCAGCAGCGGCACCGGACGCTCACCCTGGCTGCGCGCCCCGCCGCGGGCTCCCTGTGCAGGTGGCCACACCGGCCGCGTGGAGCGCTGCCCTGCCACCGGCAGCGTGGTGCTGCGACTGGAGTGGGGAGAGCCGCTGGGAGGCACTGGTGTGGACACCTTCTGGCTGGCGGAGCCAGGCGCGCACCATGCCTTGGTCTGGCCGGGGTGCCATGCGGGGCAATGCGGAGTAATCAATAGTGCCGAGTTGTCAAGTGCAGTGCTCGGGTGCCCCCGCGCCGGCATGCGTCGGCCGCAGTGCGCAGACGCCACGGCCCCAACGCTGCCGCCTCCCCTGCCTGCCTGCCTGCCCCGGTGCTGCCCGCAGATGTGCTGCACGTGCGCACCGACCTCCTGATTGGCGGCCAGGCTGTGAGCTACACCCAAGTGTACCGCAGGAAGGCGTAGCTGCGGCAGCCGCAGTGCCCGCCTGCCTCCCCTGCGCAGCCGCCTCTTGGTTGCCTCTTGATTTCGGGGCTTGTCAATTACATGGCGGGATGCTGCCTATCAGGGGAAAAGAGGGAGCTGGGGAACGGCTGACTGCTCTGCGCAAGGGGAACCCAACAAGCGGCTCACAGGATGCATCTCCCCAGGCAGCGGCAATGCAGGCGGTGCATCACTTGGCGACGCACTGCGGGAGGAGGGAAGGGTTGCATGTGCATGGGGCGGCGTCATGTGCAGGGGAGGCAAACAGATCGAGGGACAAATGCGGGGTCGATTCGAGTTCTGCAAAGGGTGGCCGGGCAATCGTGGCCTGGTGGAGCTAGGGGTGGGGGTTTCGTGCATGGTTTGTGAAGAGAGAGGGCGCCCCCAGAGGCGCGCCCACTTCAGCTGGGATGGTAATAGCAGAAAGACGGCATGAAAGCGCAAAATGGGGTGCACCTGTGTGCGACGGCGGGGCGGCGGGGGGAACAAGGGGCGGGCTCACTCCCGCGGCGCCTGCTGCTCCGCCGCCGCCTCTGGCGCGTGCCGCGCCTGCCCCTCCTCCTCCTCCACTGCCGCCCGCTGCTGCTGCTGCTCCTCCGCCAGCTGGCTCAGCTGCCGGTGCAGCTCGGTGCCTGGCTGCGCGGCAAGCTCGCGCGGCGGCGAGCGCCGCCCGCTGGCCACCGCAATCACGGCGTCGCCGGCGGGGCCGTCGCCCCTGCCCTGGGAGGCCAGCGGGGCAAAGGCGGGGGCCACGGCCACAACGGACGACCGCAGGGGGCCATCGCCCCGGTCGCTGCCGCTGGTGCTGGCGGTGGCGGTGGGCGTGTTGCTGGGCGGGGTGCCTTCCGCCGTTGGCGGCAGCGCCCCCGAGGGCAGCCCCTCGTCGTCCATCCCGGGCGACAGGCCCTTGCGCCGCACCACGGAGCCCATGTGCGCGACGCGGCGCCGGGGCAGCGTGGTGGCGCGCAGCAGGCGGCGCAAGTCTTCCGTCTCCCGCCGCCACACGGGGCGGTCGAAGAGGCCCACCCCCAGCGACCGCACCATCCAGCGGTCGAGGTACTTGCGGGCCAAGATGTGAGGGTCCCGCGCCATGACCTGCGGGGGGCAGGGGGGCGTGGATGGATGGATGGATGGATGCGGGTGGGTGGGTGCTTTGTGGGTGGGGTGGGTGCTTTGGGGGTGGGGAGTGCGGTGCCTGGCCTCAGCCCAACAGCGGCAGCACAGCATGGGCCGCAGCATGGGCCACAGTAGGGGCCGAAGCAGAATGCAGCTGGTTCGATGACAGCTGGTTGCAACCCCAGGCCAGCCCCAGCGCCGTAAAACAAACACACACACACACACACAGGCCGCACCTGTAGCACGGTGTCGGCGAAGCGGTCTGAGGGCGAGGGCTTGAGGCCCAGGCGGCGGCGCAGCCCCGTGGCGGCCCAGATGGCGCGCAGGGCCACCCACCAGGTGCCCGCCAGGTAGGCCAGGAAGCCGATGAGCTGCAGGATGAGCATGACGGTGCCCACGGTGGAGCTGCGGGGGT